TACGTAGTCACGTAACCTGCACAGATGGCCCATGTCTTCACTCCTCATGGGGCAAAACCTCAACTCATAACATGCAACAGAGGTCTTTATAAGCGACTTCATTCTTCATATTTGCTCGCGACTTATCAACCCGTTTGCAATCTTGTTCACACCTATGCATTCTTTATTCCTTCTCATTCCTTCCATTCTATTACACTGCCACCCTTTTAATCACTGCCTACTGTCCTTTCTACAACTTATACAATCACTGACCTACAATTCATTCACCTCACCAATCTTCCATCCACACACATATACATACATATCCACCACTTTCCTCCCCCTTCTCTCCCAAATGCACTCTCCATTCAATTAGTGTCCACTGCTTTATGCACAATGATTGGCTTTTGGGGTTGCCATTGGGGCTGCCCTTGAGTATTCCACTGTGGCTTACACTCTGATTTTCCCGATATTCTGATCTCTCCCTGAGTTCTACTTTTGGGTGAGTCTTGGGTGCCGCTCTAGCGGGTCTGCTTTGGGTCGCTGCCCACTTTGGTTACACTAACCCCCCACACCTTCATTTTGTCACATCATCTCTCAAAAAAATTGGCTTGTAACCATTCCAATGGGACTTTTCAAGGTTATACTCATCCTAATTGTACCTTCAGAGGTTGTATTTGGAGTTACAATTTCCTTGGTTATACTAACTGGGAAGGCACCCAGGTTTATACTTTCAGTTGTATATCGGGGTTGGGTATATAACTCCTGACAAGCATATGTGTTTAGGATATGCTTATAGTGTGTTAGAAGCTCACATTCTGACGTCCAGCACTGGTTAATATGGTATCGTGGAAAAATTAAGTCATTGCATTGTGATATATGGCACTGGACCTCATATGGGCACTCCTCAGCGTGAGGATAGGCCTGACCCGCTAGAATTCAAAAGTGATGCTCCAGGAATGTGTGATACATAGAGCAATTAACATAGCTGCAATGTGGAAGGTGGGGTTTTATTTACCTAAGCACATTTTGGATGGCCGCCGAAAACAAAAAAAGGTGGCCTCACAAATGTCATGTTTGATCATTATGACCAGATTGGGAGGCCGCCGAAAATGAAAAATGGCGGCCTCATTGAAACTGTCTTTCTTGCATCATGAGGTTGATTACCAGATGGGCCGCCTTTTTAATTTTTTGGCGGCCTTGCCTGGTTCCTTTGTGCTGCTGAAGGCCACCAAAATGCATTTTTGGCGGCCCTTGGATTTTTTTTTTTGGCCCATTGTGCAAAAGCGTACACCTTTTCAGGGGCTCCGGGCTCCGGGACGCCCAAAAGTGTACGCTCCTGCCAAAAAGCGTACACTTGGTACAATCCCCCCGCCCTCCGGGCAGGGGGGCGGGTGCTAGGTTTACACGCTCCACGGGTTACACGGCCAACGGGTTACACGCTCCATGGGTTACACGCTCCACGGGTTACACAGCCAACGGGTTACACGGCCCACGGGTTACACGGCCCACGGGTTACACGCCTAACCGGTTACTACGCCTAACGGGTTACACGGCCAACGGGTTACACGGCCAACGGGTTACACGCCCCACGGGTTACCTGACCCACGGGTGACTTGTGTTACAGGCTACACGACCCACGGGTCACTTGTGTTACGGGTTACACGACCCACGGGTCACTTGTGTTACGGGTTACACGACCCACGGGTTACACAACCAACGGCATACACGACCAACGGCTTACATGTCCCACGGGTTACATGTCCCACTGGTTACATGTCCCACGGGTTCCACAACCAACGGGTTACACAACCAACGGGTTACACGCCCAACACACGCACAATGGGATACACGCGCAACGGGTTCCCCCTCCCACGGGTTACATGTCGTACGGGTCACATGTTCTACGGGTCACACACCTTACTGCTTACATGTCCAAAACAGTAACCCAATTCAGCTTACACCCAGGCCCACATGGGCAACGCATTCCCAGATCCACGGGCATTACAAGATCCACAGGTTACATTATGACCAGGTCCATTTACTCCCTGGGTACACAAAACTTAGATACCACAACTTACCCTGGGCACGGATAGCTGAGCGACCACACGGATGTCTGGGGCGGTGTTGCACGCATATCTAACCCCACTTACAGAACACCGGGAATAGGGGTGATTACACAACCCACTGCGTTATCAAAGTGGCAACATGTCTAATCACCAGTACCACTGCTTAAGGACAACACACAGTGACCCATGGCCTGAAATAACTACTTGTGACACCCTTACCATGCCACCAGGGCTCTACCTCTCTAACACAACAAACGCCCTGTTATACCTCAAAATGGGTGGAGTGATCAAACACTGCTGTTAATGATATAGGTGGTGGAAATTATTATGCAGACATATTTGCAAATACAAGTCCATTTTTGGAAACACTTAGCACCAGTCAGACCAAATTCCATACTATACATACCCCGCATGTCTGGCCATCGCTTGGTGTTTTAGGCAGAATGCCAAAAACCAACCCCACATTTGGGATATTTCTCATCAGTCAAACCTGGTACCACTGTTAGGCAGCCTTAGCTACCCAGTAGTTTTGGTTAGCTACGGTTTACTACGGTTAGCTACGGTTAGCTACGGTTAGCTACCCAGTAGCAGCAGGTAGCTACAAGTGGTACTTATTTAAGTATGTGAAGCGTGAGTTGCTCTAGCTCCCTGTCTTCGACAGGGTAGGTATGACCACTGCGACATATAACCACGATTATAGACCACTTACACACATGACAGTCCACATACATCTACATGACGAGGGAGCTGCATGTACATGGTCAATTTCAAACAGACTGCCAACCTCAAAAACCACACCCACATGCTCCTGTATCACATCTTGTAATCAACCTGGAAGCAGGGCCAATCAGCTGTAACGTCAGGGGCACCCCAAAGATAGGGAGGCGACGTCATGTAACACCTCATGGGACATGTGACACCCAATGCGAGAATTTGGGTGTCAGGAAGTCAATGTGCAGCTGATACAAGTGTCTGGCGCGCAAAATCTCGCCCAAAGCGAGATTCTGCGCGTCGGACACTCCTGGCCGCTCTATACTGAAGCTGTGGCGCGCAAAATCTCGACAAAAGGTAGAATTTGCGCGCTGGACACTCTTAGCCACTCTATATTGAAGCCCTAGGCCGCAAAATCTCGCCCAAAGCAAGATTTTGCGCGCTAGATACTTGGAGAAGGCGCATTTTGACTTTCTGACGTGCAAAATCTCGCCCAAAGCAAGATTTTGCGCGCTAGATACTTGGAGAAGGCGCATTTTGACCTTCTGACGCGCGCAATCTCGCCCAAAGCGAGATTTTGCGCGCTAGGCACTTGCAGCAGTCCACAGCGCCTTGTGGAAAAATCAAAATCGTTGGGGAGGCTGATATGGATTTACTTGTGATTGGCTTGACAAAGGGGGCATTAAGACATTTTGGAATGCACTGGCCATATACCAAACTATAAAACAACAACAACAACAATAATTCATCCGACAAATTCTGACGCTAGTTTGCATAAATGTGCATCACGTAATACAATAAACAAGGTAACCATATTGGCCCACGGGCATCCCAGCCATTGCTGGAAAGCATGCACACTGGCTTTGTCAACTCCAACACGTATCTCACGCGTCTTGACAATCTTGACTATCCCCACTAACATATCCCTCTCATTGTGAAAATAGTACCAGCAGAACCGGTCACATACATTTTGTAGTCCACTATCACACTTCTTCAGTGTACCAACAATAGGTTCATGGTGGAACCTGTCATCACCATGGCCATCTCCAAGACCACAGAAGTGACACAGTCGGAAGGCAGCATTGCCATTCCTTTCAAGGACCTTGGATAGCTGGGGGGCTTGACATCTCGAGGTCCAATGTCCAACTACAAAAAATACTCAATCAGATCACTTGCATATCTTACATAGATAGTGAGGACTTACCTCCAGTGCATCGTAAGCAACCTACAATCTTATCACACTTGTCATCTACATGACGGTGCTCCACCTTGTCCTTTGCTAAACAGTAGCCACAAAGTCCAGTCAGCTGTTGACGTACATTTGTAATGGCAAGACCAATCTGATCAACAATGTTGACTTGGCCCCGTGCCCTCTTCACATTCGACAGATACATTGGCCGTTCACCAGGTAGTGAGTCCTCTACGTCGTCAGCCGCCTTACGCTTTTTTGACTCATAGACAACCTGGCCTTCACAGTGCATACACACTCGAGTACAGCCTACAGTCCTGCAGTCACGTAGCTCTCCATCCAACAGTTCAGAGAAAGTGCCAGGTATGCATCGGTTAGAGTCCATCACCTTCTCAGCAAAGCTCCCCTCCTCAGGCTTGCCAGTTTCAAACAACCACACGTCCGCTGCCTGTTGATCTCGTCCAGCTCAGCCTGCCTCTTGAAAGCACTTGTTGATCTCCTTGTCATCCTCAGGTAAACCAAATATCATCACATTCCTAACATGCTTGTAGTTGATACCAGCTCCAAAACCACTAGTTGCAATCATCAAGCACTTGGGTGTCGTCCTCCACCGCTTCACATTGGCAGCTCCTTCCCCGTCAGTTAGGTTCGAGTAGTACTTGGTAATGGGTAAATCCGGATATAATTTCTGCAGGTCTGCCTCGGCATTGTTGCATTCCTTCTTGTTTTCAATAAATAATATGTTGCGGTCACAGTCAGCCAACCCACTTTGGGTCACAACTTCTCCAACCTGAGCTATCATAGCCTCCCACTTGCAATTCCTAACCGTATGAAAACGTAGTTCTGGCCGTCCAGTAGGTTCTCAAAATTCTTTGACATTGGTGATACAAAATAGCCGGTAAAGGTATTCTTCATGGCCTACTTGCATAGTGGCAGTCATAAAAATAAACGGCACACAGAGTTGTCAAAGCCGAGCTACGCCAGTCGAGTACCTTCGGTAGTTGACATCATCCTCATAGCAATGCGCTTTGTCAATGATGACACGATTCACCTTGTGCCGTTGCAGAATACTATAGAATTTTTCGCTGGCAGCCTGATCAGTTGTGCACACTATCACTCAATGCCATTTTTCAATCACACAATCACTTCCAGAATCATACACCACATGCTTGATGCCCTTCTCTTTGAGCATATCACTTGTTTCCGCTACAAGAGCAGTCAGCGGTTGAACAACCACAGTGATGCCAGTGTGCTCGACCAAAGGAGGGAGCATGTATGCTAGAGATTTACCACCTCCGGTTCTGGCCACCACTAGCATGTCGTAGTTCCGATCCAAGACCATAGTCAACCAATCGGCTTGGAATGGTGTCCGAGTGCCTGACTGACGTTGGCCAGTGAATTTCTCCAGTGCATCTTCCAGAAGTTCACCTGCAGGAATAATCTTCTCAACAGCTGGAGGGGCAAAACCTGTGTGGACTGGCCCATCAATCTGAAGAATGCAATATTGGTCAGTGTGCAACCTCAGCCAGACATGCATTCTTCTGACTCACTTCCCAATACCGGTGCATGGCCTCACTAGCCGCTTTGTACCGTTTCTCAGACTCCCGATCAACATCATATCCCCCAGTCCCCCCATACAAAGCATTTGCAGTTGAACTGTTATGGCCTCTTTGACAGTCAATGATGGCACTTTTGCCAGACTCTAATACATCCACATGGTCTTTGATATGGGCATCCACAATAGCCACAGAGACATGTCTCCAAGCAGAAATTCCTAACTGTGCTACGCCACCCTCTGCAAACTTGCGCCTCAGGATATTTGTAAAGTGTGATGATTCCAGAGGTCCTTTGCTGGTGTGCACCCAGAGCTGAGTGGCCATGTGAGTCGCTATCTCCTTCCAATCTAGGGCTTTCAAAAAAAACCTGATTCATGCCATGTCAGCAAAAGAAGATATATATACTGATCAATTACTCACATTGCAGTTGGCCGTAGGAATGCAAGGTAGTAGAACCAAAGGGAACTGTGTCGTTTCGGGAGGAAGGTCATACGAGGCTTGTTTTTACCAGTGATGTTTTGACTCTTGTGATACCACATGAGGAAGACAAAGCGCCCTGACCGCAGGTAGATGTTTCTTTGATTGACCCGTGTATTCACCACCAACATCGTCATTTCTTCTGTTCCTCGCAGCGGTTGACCAGATGCCACATGGTATAAAAAGTACAATCTTTCTTGAAGCTTATCAAACAAATCCAACCAATCTAGCATGGCAGACTTTTTCCATAACCCAGCATCATAAATATACATCTCCTCCTTCAGATCAGTCTTCCACGTATTGGCCAACAACCCATGCACATCTTTCCGCCTCACCCACTCCTTCAACAAATGATGCCCATACTTTCGATGCTCATCACCCGAATGATCCAAAAAGTTTGTGAAAGGCTTCCTGCTATGAGGCTCCTCCTTGTATAGGCTTAGGTCAAAAGCTGGCATCTTAAAGCCCTGGACAAGCTTGGCCAAGTCAGAGTCTGCCATCTTTTGTTGAAGGTGAATACAATTTCTGATCCCACTAATAGTCACCCTTTTGTTTTCAACCTCTAGCGTCTCTTGTGCTGCATCAGCCCAGTATGTCGTATCTGGGAGTGCTTCAGACAACACAAAAGTACTAACTAGGTGCATGAGCTGCCGTACGTAGTTGAAAGGGCCAGGTCCATTCTTCCTCAAAAATTCAAACATAGACCGGTCGTCCTTGACCGGCTCCAGAGGATTCGCAGCAGGGTTGAACGCCTCTCGAGGGGTATCCAGGTATTGTTCAGCAAAGGCCAGACGTGTTCCATACTGCAAGGCAGCCATCAAATGAGTTAATAGACTAGAGTTGTGATAAGATCCATCCGCTTTCAATGTCGAGAATGCCAGGAACTGCGTAGGGGGTGTTTGGTACTGCTTGCTCCAACCGCCGGTCGCAACTTGAAACACTGAACACAGCACCTTGGATACTTGCTTCCCCAAAGGATTGTCAGTGATTCTACTAAAGTCAACCTCCTTGGATTCCCCTGGGACAGGAGGAAGAAGCTTCATCGGTGCTGCTATGTCCCGCAGACATAAAATGGCCTCTTTTGTGACATTGTAAAGTTGATAATCTACGTCCACCGGATCCTGAGCCTGAGTAATCAAATACCACATGAATGAAGCCAAAATCCGAGCATACTTGACCACAGAGGATTTCTCTTGAAGTGGCATCAACCCTTTGTTGTCTTCCATCTCACTAAAAGCAGTACACACACATCAGCCCTATTCAAATCATCAGTGACACAACCAACCAACCTTGTCTCCGCCATACACATACGCTTCACTAGCTGGCCAGTCTCATGCAGCCTCTTCATGGTTTTATCTATCCAAGCTGCAATATACCGCACCATGACCTCCACTCGCTCATACCCTTCTCCTTGAATAACCAGCTCCTCTTTAGTTTTACCAGACTCAACCATAAGTTGAATATAAGTATGTATACCAGTCACATATATCCAGTTTGACTGCTCCTTCTCTAATGATGTATCTGCTCCATGATCCTTGACCCCAGCTGCTTCAGCCTCCAACTTTTCAATCAATATTTGTACAGCTTTGGAAGGAGCCTCCTGGCCTTCAGAGTGTGATGGAGGTGGTGAAACCGGAACGTCTCCCACTTCAGACAGTGGTATATGCGGAAGCACAGCAAAAAACTTTGTTCGATTGTGTCCATAGAAAGTTTGACACTTATCACGACACCGGTGGAGTTTGCGAGTATCCTCATTCGGAAGTTCTGGGAGGGACACGTCTGATCAGTCCAGTGAACAACCACATAAAAAGGACTTAGATACACTGGAAAGACAGTACCTAGTGAATGTTTGAGAGAGAAGTGATTGTTGATAGTTTTACGAGAAGGCCACGTTAAGTTACACAGTGTACAAGTGTATCCATTATAGCAAATTAACCCCTGAATAGCTTCACAAGGCTTATCAGGCTGATAATTGGGCGGAAACACATCTCCACCAATCATATCTACGTATTCAACCAAATCCCTCTTCACCTCATCCTTGGTGTAACTGAATGACGGTTGACACTTTGAACAATGACCCCACACCTCAGACACATGCACACCAACATGACACTGGACACATATCAGAAGGCTACAAGACTTGTTCCACGCAAGATGGTACTTGTTGAGGATATCATGTACTAAATAATCATTCAACATCAGGCAACATCTTCAATAGTGGACAGGTTACTGAGCAACACACCTTCTATCTGATCTCCGCAAGGAACCACAAGTGCATCGTCCTGCACTTCAGACACTATTGGCCTAATCGCAGGGCCGACGCCCGTGCAAGTCTTGCAATGACCTAAAAGATATCTAGGATTTTCACTGTAATAGACACATAGACCAATGGGACATCAAAATACACCTTCTGGATCCCTGGGTACCTGATGAATTGATCCAAGATGAGTTACGGACACCTGCATTTGATGCACAATCCGCCGATGTTCATCCAGGTCACTTTTCCTCTTGAATGACTCCCTACAGCCCTGGTGTACACAGACACAACGATCTACATTGCGCCCCAGGCTGACATTGAACCAAGTGTTGGCAAGATTATAAAGTCAGCCAAAAGGGGTTCCCATCAGGTGAATATCAGCAGGATCAAGACCCAACACCCACAACAACCCCGTTCAAAATCTCGCCAAAAGCGAGAATTTGCACGAGGTTGCTACCTGCACATCAAGTACATCCAACGTTCAATTTCTCGCCGAAAGCGAGAATTGGGACACAGTTTGATACACACAGAATGAAGGACATTTGAACTTACGCAATAGACCCCTCTACGCTTCCCATGTCACACGCGTGACAGTGATTGTACAGATGAGTGACACTGTGTGTAAAGATGGGTGACAGATAGGTGGAATCCACCAGGCGCCCTACTTTCAATCTTCAAAGTCAACAGTTGAGTGCCAAGAACGTATGAATATAGATATGATGAGTGACCAATGGGGAATTACGAAAAAATTACAGGTGTGAGGAATGTAGAGGAAACCAAAGAAGAAAGTCAGTAGATCCGAGATCCAGTGTGGAATAATCTGAAACCTATGTATGTGATGATAACCACAAATGGCTGCGGCGCAGTACTGCGCCGCAGTCACTGCGGACAAAGTCTTCCAGCCCCTCTGAGTGCCACACATTCTATATTGTTCAAGATGCAGTAATGCAGGTTACAGATTGAATATGTGACAAGTGGTACATTAGTTGCCAGACCTAATTCATGAGTGACACGGACCACAGACTTGTATATTGCATGCCAGGCTAATGTTGCTTATAACTTTCAACTTACACAAAAGCACATACGGGCGAATCAAGCATGAAGACTACAAACAACAAAAGATACCACAATCAATTGTTGATATCCCACAAAGACAGTGTACCACGACCATCAACAACTAAAGGTAACCACCACCGTAATGAACCATAGTAGCATTTCACCACTCTGAGCAATGAGTCCAGGTCTGCACTTGAAGCTGGCCCCAGGGCATCAAGCTGGCAAAGAGAGATGACATCACACATTGCCCAAAATGAGATAAGTGAGCCATACCACCGTCTTTCACAAATGATCACCCTTTTAGAATCAATCATATCAAGCAAATTCTCGCAACAAGCGAGAAATTGCTAATCTTCAAGTGAACACAACACAGCCAGGGACACAGATTAATATGTATAAAAATGGCCATATGCAACACAGGCACATGTATTGCAAAGAATCAACAGATAGTAATGTTATCATAAGAATTTGAAGTTATATAGAAAGAATACAACAGCATAGGAGGGCATATAGGCATAATAGTAGCTAAACAAGCACTAACATGAAAGGACAACCAGAAAGAAAATAACCATATCACTCCTCCTCCACATCAGATCCATCTTCACCATCACCTTGTTCATCTCCATCAACTACTTCTCCATCCTCACCTGAATTATCAGAATCCGAAACCTCATCATCAACAGGAGCCTTCTCAGAAACCTGATTATTATCACCAGAAACGTCAGGATAAAGATTTCGACCTCGATCAGTCACTGGCTGAGGAGGACCTTCGGTCGGGCCCCACAACACCCGGAAAGATTCAGTAGCTGGAGCGTTCATCTTCATCAATTTGACATTGTCAATGTTGACATGATCAAGAACTAGGCCATCCAAACCAATAGTCAAACCAGGTCGGCGAGTTTCAGTTAACAGATCCAACATAAACAAAGCTTCCAACTTCTTCTCCTCGAATTCTTGGTGAAAGTGGTTAGTCATCTCGTTCCATTTGATCCGAGTGTTGAACTGGCCAGAATTGGTCAAAAACCGCTTGAGCGATGTGAACATCAAATTGTCGAGTCGATTCCATGCTTGGTCACCATAAGAGTGAGGTAACTCGTTGAACTTGTTGAATCGCCGATCCGCCAAAATCGAAGCCAAGAATACAATCATCGCACTTTCAGGCATACTTTGCTCTTTATAATTGGGCAGAGCGTGAAATAATCCTGCTGTGCCATACAACAAGAACAAAGCTAAGTTTAGAAGGCACTGTTTCTTGACATTTGATATATCTCTAGAAGTATCTGCTGAAACCAATTTCTCTTTGACAACTTTTGGATTCGCGGATTGAGATGATTGGGATCCAGAAACTGAAGTGATTGTCTTAGCAGGTTTAGAAGGGCCAGCAATCGATTTGAGGTTGCCAGACGAAAACTTGTTCCGATCGTTGAAGAGTTGATGCAAGACCGAGTTAGTCTTATGATCAGACTTCATTTGCCTGATATCACGAATCCGTAACTTAGCAAGTTCCGCTTTCTTGATAAGTCCATTGTGAACCTCATTCTCATAAATCAAATTCATTCCCAGGAAGATGTGAAAGAATTTCTTCTGTAAAGATTTAACATTCGAAGGAATTAACCGACTTCGTCTACCAGGTTGATCGTCAGAGCCGGCCGAGTAACATTGATTCAATAACCAAGCGATGGTCTTCCCCATTTCTACAGATGACTCAGCCACACCATCTTCACCATCAGTCCTAATCTTGAATGTCTCATGTTCGTTTCCATAAGATATAAGCCTAAGGCTGTCTGAAAGAATATCATGCAGAGTTGAAAATGCGTTCTTGATGTTATTCTTGATAACTGAATGGTTGGTCCAGTCTTTGAGTTGATTGGTTCGACAGCTCATCGAATGCAATGACCGAAAAAGCCAGATTTATTAGAGTAAGGATATTGAGAGCTTAGTCAAATCAAGGACCAGTCCACTCGGTCCAGTGCGAGATATGGATCGGTTGAAGATACCTGGAGCAATCGAGGTGCTGCGTTAAGGTACAATGGTCATCAGTGAATGAACTCCAAACAAAAACATACAGAGTGGAAAACAACTCACAGCATTGAAGCCTGAGGTACATCATTTCGCGATCTTGCACCAGGGCACGAACATAGTTGAGGTGCAGAGTCAAATCGGCTGCTGAGGGCTTCCCCTTGGCTGACTCGAGATTGTACTCCCAAGCGTGGATCACATTCGCAGCAGGGACAGTAAGTACATCTCCCCAGTTGAATTGAGAAGATGTGATTGAGTCCTGATTCGCCTTCAACTCGAGGATCTCCTCGGGACTAGGATCTATGAGCAGAGCTACAAAGCAATAGGATAGGTCAGCTCCATTCTCAATAGAAACGATTCGTTAATGAAGGGTGAAATGAGAATTTGAAGGAGTTCATCCACATCATCCAATCCATTGACGTATCAAAGCAGAAAGTGGAGAGAGATTGAAGCAATAAGGAGAAGATGAAAGTGCGGAAGATTCAACGAATTCCGTTCAAATTCTCGCTTTAAGCGAGAATTTGAACGATGTGATCTTGAGAATAGAGAAATGAGGAAGGATGGGATTGTCTCGTTCAAATTCTCGCTTGAAGCAAGAATTTGAACGAGACAATAAAGAGAATATGGAAATGGGGAAAGAAGAGATTGATCCGTCCAGATTCTTGCTTGGAGTGAGAATCTGGACGGATCAATGAGGAGAGTGGATAGATGGAGAAGGATGAGATTGGCTCGTTCAAATTCTTCCTTGGGCTAGAATTTGAAAGAG